TGGCAGCAAAGTCCTGGCTACCACCCCTTCAGCTGTGTTTCGGTGAGTGGAAGGGCGGAAGGGGGGCAAGAAAGGGACTGCAGGCAGAACTTTCTGTCGTCATTTTCAATTTTTTTGTGCTGATCCTGGGACTGACAGTGAGGTAGTTCCAAATTTTGGAACCTAGAGGCCCTAAGCTTTGACTTGCCCCTCTCTGGCTCAGAGTTTGGGAGGCCCAGATGTGGACTTGTGAGAGGTGGCCTACGCTGTTGGGGCGATGTCAGGTAAGAGGGGATTGTGATTCACAGAAGCTGGGGAGCAAGTGGTGGTTCCAGTGGGCCCCTGGTCCCCCAAGCCTGGCCCCCTACCTCCTCTACTTCTTTCCTTCCGACATTCCCCTGTAGGCTCCCTTCCCCTGCTTTTTTTTTCTTTACCTCAGACTGGCTGCTGGAGCCCAGATGGAAACCGACTGCTGTTCACTGTATTAGGGGAACCACTGATTTACTCCTTGTCGTTTCCAGAACGTTATGGTGAGTTAGGGACAACATTTCAGGATGCAGAGTAGCTGGGGTGGTCAGAGGGAGGCAGGAACCCTCTGCAAAAGCTACTGTGAGAGATAAGGAGGATAGAAGCTTATGGTACTTCAGAGGTGTTGACACCTGCGATAGGGAGGTGGCGGGGGGGCCAGTGAGAAGCTTGTGTTTCCTGCACTTAAAAGCCCCTTCCCTGATCCACAGGTGAGGGAAAGGGGCGGGTTGGAGGTGCGAAGTCAGCAACAATTGTAGCAGATCTGTCTGAGACAACCATACAGACACCAGATGGAGAGACAAGGTGAGCTGGGTGGGTGAGGGTGGACCAGTGTAAGGAAGGTGGGAGGGACCTTGCCAAGCCCTCCCAACCTACTGTTCTGGCCCATAGACTTGGGGGAGAGGCACACTCCATGGTCTGGGACCCCAGCGGGGAGCGTCTGGCTGTGCTTATGAAAGGTAAGAGGTGGGGAGGAAGGGTCATGCTCAGTTCACAGCCATCTTCCCCACTGATTATGTCCACGTCCTGGCCTGCAGTTATCTGCTGCCCCTGCCCTGGGATTCTGCCTCCAGAGTTCCTCCTAATCCCTTGATTCATTTCTTGTAGGAAATCCACGGGTACAGGATGGTAAACCAGTTATTCTCCTTTTTTGCACTCGTAACAATCCTGTGTTTGAACTACTTCCTTGGTAAGTGCCAGGCAGGCCAGTAGCGGTCTGGATACGTCACCAGCCTTTCCACCCCGAGCCCATATCCTACTGCCCCTCTCTTTTGCCTCCACTTGACTGCTCACATTTTCTCCTCCTTCCTCTAGTGGCATTGTTCAGGGGGAGCCAGGGGCTCATGCCCAGCATATCACTTTCCATCCTTCCTTCAACAAGGGGGCCCTGCTCAGTGTGGTAAGTAGGCCAGGCTGCTGGGAGACTTGTGGGTGGGGTAGAGCAGCTCAGCGCTTTGGCTCCTGTGGCTCTGCACATGGCCTCCTTTGACCCCCCAGGCTCTGACTGGCTTTTCTTTACCCTCTGCAGTGCTGGTCCACAGGCCGAATTGCCCACATCCCTCTGTACTTTGTCAATGCACAATTTCCACGTTTTAGCCCAGTGCTTGGCCGGTCCCGGGATCCCCCAGTTGGAGGCGGAGTCTCTATTCATGACCTGCCCCTCTTTACTGAGACATCTCCAACCTCGGCCCTTTGGGACTCTCTCCCAGGGCTACTGCCTGCTCAGCCCCACTCCCACCTCTAATAAAAAACTTGTTTTTCACTCACGTACCAGACCTCTGTCTTGCCAGGAAGTTGGCAGTGGTTTTGTTGTTGTTGTTAGTTGCCGTCAGTTTCGACTCATGGCCACCCCAGTTTGGAGTACTGCTTCATAGGGTTTTCAAGGTTGTGACTTTTGGAAGCCGACTGCCAGGCCTGTCTTCCGAGGTGCCTCTGGGTGGGTCTGAATAACCTTTTGGCTAGTAGTTGAGTGCTTAACTGTTTGCGCTACCCAGGGACTCCACATTAGGGTATAGTGGGGGAAAATTTTAAAAATCATGGCCTTTGGGTTAAGATCCTGACTGTGTCCCTTTTTAGCCACTTTTTTAATGAATTTGGTCTATCTGTAAATTTTTAAAATTTTTATTGTGGTAAAATATATGTATCAAAACATTTGCCAATTTAACCATTTTTACACACACATTTCAGTAGCATTAACTACATTCATGTTGTACAGCCATCACCACTGTCTGTTTCCAAATTTTTTCATCACTCTTAAACTCAGTACTCCTTAAGTAATACCTCTCCACTTAACCCCTTCCACCCATCCGTGGTAACCACTAATGAACTCTAGTCTTTATGTACTTGCCTATTCTAGGTTATTTCATGTAAGTGGGATCATACAATATTTGTCCTTTCGTTTGACTTAGTTAGTATAATGTTTTCAGGGTTCATCCATGTCATAGCATGTATCAGAACTTCTTTTCTCTTTATGGCTACTGAATAGTATTCCATTGTGTGGATATACCACATTTTATCTGTTCATCTGTTGATGGACTCTTGGGTTGATTCTGCCTGTAAACTAATTTTTTTTTTTTGTCAGTTTTATTATTATTTTTTAATTATTGTGCTTTAGGTGACAGTTTACAGCTCAAGTTAATTTCTCATACAAAAATCTGTACACATATTGTTATATGACACTAGTCGCAATCCCTATAATGTGACAGCACACCGCACCTTGCCACCCTGGGTTTCCCATGTCCATCCAACCAGCTGCTGTCCCTTCCTGCCTTCTTATCCTGCCTCCCGACAGGAGCCACCCATTTGGTCTCTTGTTTCTGCTTGAACTAAGAAGTAACACTCTTCACAAGTATTATTTTATGTTTCTTAGTTCAGTTTAATCTTTGTCTTAACAGTGGGCTTCAGGAATGGTTTTAGTTCTGGGTTAACAGCGTCCGGGCGGTCATGGCTTCGGGGGATCCTCCAGCCTCAGACCATTAAGTCTGGTCTTTTTATGTGAATTTGAGTTCTGCTCTACACTCTTCTCTTGCTCCATCAGGAACTCTCTGTTGTGTTCCCTGTCAGGGCAGTCATTGGTGGTAGCCGAGCACCATCTACTTTTTCTGGTCTCAGGCTGATGGAGTCTCTGGTTTATGTGGCCCTTTTGTCTCTTGGGCTTAGTATTCTCCTTTGCTCCGGGTGGGCTGGGACCAATTGATGCATCTTAGATAGCTGCTTGCAAGCTTTTAAGACCCCAGATACCACTCACCAAAGTGGGATGCAGAACATTTTCTTAATAAACTTTTTCATGCCAGTTGACCTAGATATCCCCCGAAACCATGGTCCCCAGACCCCAGCCCCGGCTACTCTGTCCCTCATAGTGTTTGGTTGTGTTCAGGGAACTTCTTAGCTTTTGGTTTAGTCCAGTTGCGCTGACTTCCCCTGTATTGTGTGTTGTCCTTCCCTTCACCTAAGATGATTCTTGTCTTCTATCTAGTTAGTGAATTCCCCCTCCCTCCCTACTCACCCTCATAACCATCAAAGAATGTTTTTTTCTGTGTTTAAACCTTTTCTTGAGTTCTTATAATAGTGGTTTCATACAATATTTGTCCTTTTGCAACTAATTTCACTCAGCATAATGCCCTCCAGATTCATCCATGTGAGATGTTTTGCGGATTCATCATTGTGCTTTATCGTTGTGTGTATGTACCATCATTTGTTTATCCATTCATCTGTTGATGGGCACCTGGGTTGTTTCCATCTTTTTGCTATTGTGAACAGTGCTGCAGTGAACATGGGTGTGCATCTATCTATTCATGTGACGGCTCTTATTTCTCTAGGATATATTCCAAGGAGTGGGATTGCTGGATCATATCGTACTTCTATTTCTAGCTTTTTAAAAAAAGTGCCAAATTGATTTCCAAAGTGGTTGTACCATTTTACATTCCCTCCAGCAGTGCATAAATGTTCCAGTCTCTCCACAACCTCTCCAACATTTATTATTCTGTGTTTTTCGGATTAATGCCAGCCTTGTTGGGGTGAGATGATATCTCATTGTAGTTTTGATTTGCATTTCTCTAATAGCTAATGATCGTGAGCATTTCCTCATGTGTCTGTTAGCTGCCTGAATGTCTTCTTTGGTGAAGTGCCTGTTCATATCCTTTGCCCATTTTTTAATTGGGTCATTGGTCTTTTTGTTGTTGAGGTGTTGCGGTATCTTGTAGATTTTAGAGATTAGACCCTTATCCCAGTCTGTAGGTTGTCTTTTTATTCTTTCGGTGAAGTCTTTTGATGAGCTTAAGTGTTTGATTTTTAGGAGCTCCCAGTTATCTAGTTTCTCTTCTGGTGTTTGTGCACTGTGATGGTTTGTATTCTGTTTATGCCATGTATTAGGGCTCCTAGCAATGTCCCTGTTTTTTCTTCCATGACCTTTAGCATTTTCGATTTTATATTTAGGTCTTTGATCCATTTTGAGTTAGTTTTTATACATCGTGTGAGGTACGGGTCTTGTTTCATTTTTTTGCAGATGGATATCCAGTTATGCCAGCACCATTTGTTAAACAGACTGTCTTCCCCATTAAACAGACTTTGGGCCTTTGTCAAATAACTAGCTGCTTATAGGTGGATGAATTTACGTTTGGATTCTCAATTCTGTTCTATTGGTCTATGTGTCTGTTGTTGTACCAGTACCACGTTGTTTTGACTACCATGGCAGTATAATAGGTTCAAAAATCAAGTAGTGTGAGGCATCCCACTTTGTTCTTCTTCAGTAATGCTTTACTTATCCGGGGCCTCCCTTAAACACTTGAAGCCATTGTCCTCCTGTTTCCTAGCTGAGGCTCAGCAGATGCCTTGGTCTTTGAATGAGGACACCATGGTTTAGAAGTCAGCATGAGGGAAGTACCTAACCTAGCAAATACCTAACACATAATAGATCTTTAGCTTTTGCCAAGTTTGAGCAAGTTCCAAGAATGGTGTAGGGCAAGGATGGGGCAAGGACTTTGTCAGTATAAGACGTTTTATTGGACTAGGGGATTTGTGGAAGGCATAGGTGCTGAACACTGGGCCAGTGTGGCACGGGCCATGCTTAAGGCACCCTCTCGGGTGTGGTGCCCACCAATGAAGCCACTAGCATGGACGAAGATGCAGCCAGGGATCCCGGTGACCTGGTCCAGGGCCTTGTCCCGAAGACCCCGCCATGACTCTGGCAGGGGCAGCCTACAAGTGAGCAGAAAGGAAGTTGGTAATAGCAAACTGAGACTTGAGGAACTGAGAGGGAGGGGAATAGAGCTGAGCCAAGGTTGGCAGCCACTAAGGGCTGAAATAGGTCTGAAGATCTGCAGGGTCTGGGGCCTCACCGGCTTTGGAATGAGTGGGGCTCCTTGGGCACACACTGTACCCGCCACTGTCCAGCCTGGTCAGTGTAGATAACAAAGGCAATGGCCACTGGGGGGGCCAGCTCAGATTCCAGGCTGTAGAGGTGATCTTTCCAGGGGCATCCACCTTTGGCCAGTTCCAGTATCTCCCCACTTGAATCCACCTGAAAGGGAAGTGGGGCAAGGCTAGAGGGTTTAGGGTAGAACAGGAGCCCCTGGTGACCACAGCCTACCAGCTGTCACTGACCCCCTACCCACAGCACCTTTGCCCACACCTGTACCTTGAACCGCTTGGCCATGGCCTCTTCCACCAGGGCCCGGGCTGGCAGCCAGCTCTGCTGGTAGAAGTCTAGTCTTTGCAGAAACTCTTCTTGAACCAGAGCCATCGCATGCTGAAACCCTGCCTGGAAATCATGTGTGAGTTAGAACTATAGTGCTGGCCCAAACTTTTGAGTTTCTTAGAGTTTAAGAGGGACAAATGTTCCCATTTCCTCCCCTGAGTTTCCCCTGGGGCCCTCCCTACCTCTGTGTCTTGGTTGGGCTGGTTCCACGTCGGATTAAGTCGAGCAACCCGGGCACTCAGGTGAGTGGTCAGTGCATATCGAGGCTCCCCCTCCTCCCACTGGGAGATCCCATTGTCCACTGCATCCACCTCCTCCACGAAGTTCTCATACATCTAAGGCAGCAGGAGGGGAAATGCTGTTGAGGATATCTACCATTTGCATAAAATTTTAATAGGTTTCAAAGTATGTTCATACACACTCTTTCATTAATCCTCACAGTAGCCCTGAAGGATCTCTCAGCACTAACTGGGTGAGGAAAGGGAACTGGGCAGTTCAGCAACTAGTTCAAGGTCAGACGGCTAACAGGGCTGGGACTGGAATTTCTAATCCAGTGCTTGCTCTACTACTGAAAGCTCAAGCCAGGGCCAGCATGTGTGTGTGAGGGGCTTCTGGTGACTCTTGAACAAGGAAGGTCTTGAGTTCCTCGAGGGGGTCTGTGGGAGTGGATCCCTACAGCTGAAGGAGAGTAAGTCTCTAGGTGGGCTAAGAGTAGGCTATTCAGATGGCATGGTTACTGAGGTACAGGAGGGACTGGCCAAGCACACAAGGCAGGTGGGACAGAGAATGACTGCTGGACTAGATGTCAAGAGCTGGATGTGGTCCTAGGGAAGCCCCTAATGTGCCACATGACGTCACCAGTTGCTGCATCTCCTGAGCCTTAACTAGGAAATGGGAGGACAATGCCTCAAGAGTATGTGTGTATGTGTTAAATTTTAGAAAAATTTTAGCTGAGAAAGTAGAAGAAATGATAGGAACAGAACATTATCATTTTACAAACCCTAATGAAATTTTGAGATAGAATTCACTTAACATAAAATTCACTATTTTATACAGTTCAGTCATTTTTAGTATATTCACAATGTTGTACTACCCTCTAATGCCAGAACATTTTTCTCTCTCCAAAAACAACTCCATACCCATTAGCAGTCACTTTCCATTCCCCCTCTCCCAAGCCCCAGGCAACTACTCATCTACTTTTTTGTCTCCATGGATTTGCCTGTTTTGGACATTTCATATAAATGGAATCATACAATATGTGACATTTTGTCTGGCTTCTTTCACTTAACAGTGTTTTCAAGGTTCAGCTATGTTGCAGCATGTAGCAGTAGTTCATTCCCTTTTATGACCAAGTAATACTCAGTTGTATGGATATATCATATTTTGTTTATCCATCAGTTAATAGACATTTGCATGATTTCCATTTGTTGGCTATAATCAATAATGCTGTTGTGTGAGCATTCATGTGACTTCAAGAGTTTCTGGGTAAAAACCGTATTTCAGTTAGGTCATTATTTTCCTGTAAATATGCTCTGCAAGTATAGGCCTACATATCAGCACATCTGTGGCACAGAGAAAAAGTGCTACTCTCAGGGAGAGCCAAAAAAGAGGTTTCTCTGTGCCAAGCATCTCTTGGTCCGGACCCCAACCTGATGGTTGATTAAAACTTGGGTTTAATTTAGTCAGTTGCTTAGAAACCCCTCAGCAGTGGAAGGGAAAATTGATCCAGGCAGTCTAAAATTTTGGTATTCCAAAAGCTTTTTTTAGCCTGTTACTATTTCTTCACTTTTTCGGAGCATATTAAAGCTGTGCCATAAGGGGCAGAAAATAGGCAAACCAAGACAGAGAACTGAACTCAGTAGCCTACATGCAAAAAAGAAAAAAAAAAGCTGAATTGGAGGTTTGCTTTTGAACTTCATGGGATGCTAGGGCTCTGTAGGTGTCCAGAGCATTGTTTATTTGAACTGACATGCACGCCAGGACCGCTAGCCTTGTTCCTTCCGCAACAGCAGGAAACTGATGTGTTGCTTGCAGGGGACACTGGTGGAGCCTGAAGATACTGTCATAATCAAACCCTTCCCAGCTAAGCTTGCCATATGCTACCAAACATAAGCAGCCTCTGTTTACCTAAATGTGCTGTGCAGTCATTTTTTGTGTCAGGTCATGAAAAAGACTGGGAAATACTGTTTATGGATTTCAAAGCCCTTCCCTATATATTATCTCATCCACTACTCACAAACCACCCCAGGACATAGGTAGGGGAGCTATTACCATCCCCTCGTGAGAGGATGAGCCTGACTGACCAGGGTGAGTGCTGGGGCCAGCAATCCTGACCACCTGAGACCCAGGTCTGACTGCTGTGTGAGCACCTCTCCCTGCTGGCCTGGTGGAGATGTGTGTGGGGCATTTCTGTCCTTAGGTTCCCACCTTGTCATAGAGGGTGCCCACCATGCTGTCTTCTTCACTAGTGCCCAGCAACTGGGCCAGCAGCTTGCGCCCGAAGTGCAGATAGATGAGTCCCGCACTGCTCAGCTTGGTCTGCCAAGGCTTCCCAGGGGACAGGGAGCTCATGGTCTCAGTGAAAGACCTGAGGAGCACAGGGAGATGGGGCTGAGGTAAAGGGTTTGGCCCCAGTTACCCCACAGTGTGTTTGTACACGTGCATACACTTATGGGGTAGTGGGGGTAGAGAGTTGCACCAGTTGGGAGGAGAAGCTCAGCTGGGAAAGCTCTGGCTTTTCCTTAGGGGTCAACATGGACCTTGGCGTGGAGTCTCCCTGCCTTCAAGGAGTTCACCATCAGCTGCAGGCAGACAAACACAGACAACCAAGCGAGTGCTCTAGAGAGATTATAAAGAAGGGAGAAGATGAGGAAAGGCTTCTGAGAAAAAGACCTTTAAGATCAGTCCTGAAAGATGAATCAGTGGTGTTCACCAGACAGACAACGGGTGAAGGAGAAACAGCATTCCACACAGAGGGAACAAATGTGCAATGGCTAAGAGACAGGTCTCTTCACAGAACAACTTGGGTGTGAGAAGTGGGTGGCAAAAGATAAAGCTATAAGGGCAGGCAGGGGCCAGATCATGGCAAGCCTTGGATGCCATGCTTACGAGCTTGGACTGTATCTGTAGGAATGGGAAGCCACTGAGGGATTTTTTTAGCAGGCAAGTGCATGTTCAAAAGAGGATTGTGCCAGCCAGCGTGGAGAACAGATGCAGGGAGATTACCTGCAATGGTCCAGGTGAGTGAGGAAGGCAGAATTTGAACAGCAGTGGAACAAAGAATAGAGAATAGGTGTGACAGATTTGTTAAGGAAGTAGAAACTACAGCTGTGATTTCCAGATACCAGTCCATCAGAATCACCTAAGGAACTCACTTTTGTTTTAATGATTTTTATTATTAAGTGTTGAATACAAAATAATTATGAAATATACATAACGTATAAAGATTTAAGTGATACAATAACCCCCCAGATAAAATTCAAAAACAAGCTCAACTAAACAATACATTGTTTATGAAAACAATCACGTGCTAAAACTACACAAGAACAAGGGTATGATGAATACAAAATTCAGGATACTGCTTGCTTCTGGGAGGGGCCAGGAATGGGACAGGTAAAGATGCAAAGGTAATGGTAATATTCTAGTTCCTAAGTTGGGACATAAGTTCATAGGTGTTCATTTTATGTTTTACAGTCCAGATATGTTAAAATTAGGGGGCTCTCATGGCACAGTGGTTAAAGTACTCAACAGTAACCAAAAGGTCGGGGGTTCAAAATCACCAGCTGCTCCATAGGAGAAAGATGTGGCAGTCTGCTTCCGTAGAGATTTACAGCCTTGTAAACTCTCTATGGGGTGACGAGGAGAGTGATCTATTGGCAGTGGGTTTGGTTTTCTTATGTTAAAACTGTTAAAATGTTTGTAAGAAAGAACTATGAGGAAAAAAAAGGGGGGGAGGGCCACAAGTGCCACAAAGAGGTCAGTTAAGGTAAGACTGTGATGCGACTCTGTGAGTTTGGAGTGGAGGCCCCTGGTGCCCTTTCCATGAGAGAGGTGAGGGTAAAAACTACTACGGCGGGCTGGGGGGTGGAAATTAATCTGAAGGGAGGAGATGGAGCCAGGGACAGCTGTTTTTTGAAGAGTAGCTGAGAAGTGAGGGCAAGAGGTTAGGCTGTAACTAGAAAGAAGTGTCCCTCCAAACACCCATTTTTAAAAGTAATACGTACAGAAACTTAAAACATCCTCATAATGCCTGAGAGAAAGTTTTGTTTTTTTTAAATTCCTTTGTTTTCAAGATGGGAAATGCTTGAACAAAGTTTTAGGCAGTAGAGAAGGAAAAGTAGAAAACACTTGTGAGAGAATCATGACAGAAGTCCCAGAGGAGAAAGTAACAGATTGAAACAAGGACAAAGGATTAACCTCAAACAGAAGGGACACTTTTCCTGAATTGGAAGGAAGAGGTTGAGGGTGTTCAGGAGTGGGAAACTGAGGAAGTCCATGAAGGAAGAGCTCAATTTTCTTTAAGCAGGAAGCAGAAACCATAGACAATCACTGAGGGAGTTTGATGAGATAGAGGCTTAAAGAGAGGGAAAAAGGATAGGGATGGCACCGTGGATAATGGGCTACCCTAGGACAAGAAAGATTTCCCAGTGGAAGAGTCTAAGTGAAATAGAAGAGTATACACATTTGAACCATCCCGGGTCCAGAATTATTGGGCCCAACTAGCCTGATGTGGGGCAGCAAGGGCAGATGAATGGGTTAATCCAGATAAGGTATTAGTTGGAATGATGACTGTGCTGGTGGGAGGAAAGCCTACCTAAGCCAAAGAAGGCGCCAAGTCAGGAGGGGACTGAGGGACTGATGGGGAGCCAAGGGAGATGTGGGCTGACTCGAGGGCTCAGGGAAGTCCAAGGACAGGTAGGTGGGTGAAGGGCAGGGAGCTGGAAGGATAGAAGGCTATAGTCCCAGAAGGACAGAGGAGTTTGACTTCAATGATGAGGCAGTTCCCTTCGCTGACACGAACCACGAACCACGGTAGTGGATGGCTGAAACAGAGCACGAAGGAAAGATAAAGTCAAGGTTAAGGAAATGAGATCTGGAAACCCACCTTTGGTGATGGTCATATCGGTGTCTCTGTGGGTCGTACTCGCTACCCACATCCACTACGATGTCACACGAGGCCAGTTTTTCGGGGTCCCGGGTCCGCACAATCTCTGCATCCTGCGGAGGACATAGGAGATGAGGAGGCTGCCAGGAGTCGCGCGGGCAGGCGATTAATGTTGGGTTTCTGGGGGAGGTGGGGTTCTCCGGCCACCTAAGAGCTACGAGAAGGACCCTGTTACTGGAACTGGATGGGGCGCCCTATAGCCAGGTGGGTAGACCCAGGGCCAGTTTTGCCGGACTGTACCTGGTACTCGGGCAGAAGGCGAAGCATCGCGCACGCCAGCGCTTCGTCGCAGTGGAAAGTGCCATTGTGCGTCCCAATTCGGGGTGGTGCCATGAAGTCGCCACGGGGACGTTTAGGGGGCGGGACGGACTCTGTGCCGAGCATGCGGTGCCGAGGCTGGAGGGGCGGCGGCACCGCCAGCGGGAGCCACTGTATAAGGCGGCCCAGGAAGCGGTGGCCCATGCAGGTCCCCTGGTGGGGAAGCCGGAGTGCCGACCCGGAAGTGGAAGTACCCGCGCGGTCCCACTTCCGCTGTTGGTCGTTCCCACGGCAACAGGCCGGGCAAGAAGAACTCAAGAGCCAGCACAGAATTTCTCTCACCACCCCATCACCAGTCCCTGATTTAATGCAAAAAAAAAAAAAAAAAAGAAGACCAACATTCTGCCCAGCTGGCACATTTATTAGCATTAAAGACAAGATCCACAAGACTTCCCCACTCTCACTAGGAAGCCATGCCCACAGAGTCCCAGGCCCCTGAAGCAGGGTCCCTCTGCTCTATTTCTGCAACAAGTTCAGGCCTTGGCAGTAGCCTGAGTTGCTCCCAGAGCTGTGAGCTGCTGAATCTTCTGGCTCATCATCTCCATAACAGCTGTGGAAGAAAAAGGAAGCGTCAGACCCTGGTCAAACCCTAACCTAGAGTTAAGGAAAAATGCCAGGGACATTTAAAGACAGACAACCACTTACAGTTTGTTAATAAAATTTTTAACACAGTGACTCACTATGGGAGACATGCTAACACAAATTCAGAGCCTACAATGTGTCATCAATACATTAACAAAATGAACAAAATCTCGTTTTTCATGAGTCAGACATAACCAGAAAATTATAATGTAGTAAAGATTTTTGCCTTTAGAAGTGGTTCTCAGTCCTGACTGTAACAGAATCACCTGGGGAGCTTTTAAAAAACACTCACCCTTCCCAGAGATTGATTTAGTTGGCCAGGAGTGGGCCCAGGCTTTCTTTTTAAATTCTCCAGGTGATTCTACCTGCAGCCAGGGTTACAATCACTAGTATTTAGTTAGTTAGGGCTATGTTTCTTTCCTGTGTGTTCATTTACATACATATTATCTGCTACATTCTATCTCAATTAAATAAGAGCTCCAAAAGACCGCAGACATGATTTCCTTCTGAATTTCTCAAGCACTCAACCAGGAATCTACCAAGAGTGGGTACACAGATCTAAAGAGTAACACAGATCTAAAGAATGATACATCAAAACACCACTGAAAGAGATACAAAAACATAGTTTTAATTTAGCAAAGGAACACATGCATAGTTCACACTACAATCCAAGTTCTTTATCATGGAGGTCAAAAACAGGGTCGTGAAGTACCCCAGGCCAAGCTTACCCTGTTTCATGGCATGCTTCTCCTGCAGAGCTGGCTGGATTTTCTCCATCTGCTTGGTAAGGAAGTCTATCTTCCTCTTGAAGAAGTCCTTGGCATCCTCAGCTGTCTACATAGGTCAGAGGTGAATGGGGGTAAGAGCAGACCTCATGCTGCACCCTAGATCTTTCCCTGTTTAGACGGGCATCCACATGTTACTTCCAGCTCACCTTTTCTACATAGTACCCAGTTCCCACATCGATGAGCACATGTTCCACATCATGTAGTTTCCCAGGGACATACATCTGAGAAGCAAGGATTAAGGGAAAAACCAGCCCAGCACAAGCCGTGATTCCCTGTCAGCCGGCCTCCTAAGACACTCCTCTTCTAAAATGTTATGAGACACAGGTACTGAATACTCTAGAGACTTCAGAACTATACCTATAAACTCCGGATGGGGAGAGACAGGAAAGTTGGTTCCCTGTGGAGAAAATGACATATGATGGAACTCTCTATTGCCCTAACTCCCATCCTCCACCCTCCAAGTAGTTTTTGTTAATTCTTCCCATTAGCTCTTCCAGAAAGTCTAGATACAATGTTTTCTACTGCTCTAGTGTAGCAAAAGTGAAAAGCCAACTTCATTGTCCCTTAACACCTCCCACCATTGATTAGCTAATTCCTAATGGATTTAATGTTCATTATTTAACCATTCCCAGCTACACCACTAGCTCTGTTTCCCTTTTAGCCTGTCAGTTTTCAGACTACAGACTACAGATGCCCTACTTCGAAAACTTGCTCATTCAAGTAAAATACTCAACAAGTGGACACAATCCCTGTTTCTTAGTGACAGCAGTTTAGGAATAGAGCCACAATTAAACTGAAATGGAGGATTAATAAACAGAGCCAACCCTTCTGTTTCTATATCCTATTCTATTGCTTATATCTTCTATCTAGGTTACATCTAGGTTACTAGCAAAAGTGTAAACCACCAGTTTTAACTCCATATTACATTAATATCTTCAAACAGCAAAGGGAAATATCACACTTCAACTCTACATATCCCCTGGTACCACAGGCATTAGCTGCATGCTGGCCCCAAGTTAGATAGGGAAGCTAGAAAATGTGTATAATGAGGCGTGTTCTCAGAATCATCGGGCACCGGGGAATAATCAAAACTACCTCCCCTCCCTCTATTTTCCCCCAGGGGGAAGGAAGGGAGGAGAAGGCAATAGAGCAGTTCTTGTGGAAAGGATACAGAACTCGTCAGTGGGACAAGTAATTCTTTCCCTGTGAAAGCAATGAAGACAAACACCTCAGGAAGGTTGGCCACTCCAAATTTCAGACGTTAAAGGGGGTTCCAACATTGCCCAGCGCCCGGATAATGAATGAAAAGAACAGAAACAGGGACAACAATGTTCTGTACACTTCAACTCTAGGTAAGCAACATGCAAAGGGTTCGTGAAGCAGTCTACAATATGTAATAGATTGTTTTCTCGCCTCAGGTAAGGAATACTGGATTAGAAGGTGGGACGAGAGGTGAAGCCGGCTCGTCACATTCCCCAGGTTTCCCTCACCCGCCTATCCCATACCCTCGTTGCTCTTGTTCAGCACGTTCAGACAGTCCTTGGCTTCCACATACTTGGTCTGTACCACTTTGAGCTGGGCAATGGACGTGGACAGGAATTCCACTTCCTGCAGATAACGGGAAAGATCAGTACAGGGGCTTGAGAGAGAGGGGAGCAAGCCCAGAGTGGGGGCGGGTCCTGGAACAGGGTTGGGGTTTCGCATGGGAAGGGAAGTCTTCCAAACTGGGGAGGAATGCGGGCGACGGAATAGTGTGGGGAGGCGGGATGTGAGGCGGAAAAAGGGTGCCTCAGGAGCTCGTCCCCACCTGATCCAGCTGGTTCTTGAGCATTTCTAGCTGCGGCAAATTCAGCTCCGTGATATTAACCGACTGCGCCATGCTGGGAAGGATTAACGAAGGGAAAGCCGGTTCAGGGGGGGTAACGCTCTAGCCGTCCACTGCACATCTCTATGGCTGCGCCAGGAGGCCTCGCAGCTCCAGACGTCTCTATGATCCTCCATCCCGGAAGGGAAGAAGGGGCTGGAGGCTCTCAGGAGCTCTGGTTTGATTGGAGAACCTTAACGAAGTGTCATTTTGTTTGTTTATTGTTGTAGTTTAAATGAAGTTTACATTTCAAGTTAGTCTCCGATACAAAAATGTATACATACATTGTTATGTGACCCTAATTGCTGTCTCCATACTGTGACAGCACACTCCTCCTTTCCACCCCTGATTCCCCGTGTCTATTCAGCCAGCTCCTAACCCTCTCTGCCTTCCCATCTCACCTCTGGACAGAAGCTGCCCGTTTAGTCTCTTGTACCTACTTCAGCTAAGAGGCACACTCCTCACGAGTATCACTGTATGTCCCACAGTTC